TTCAGCTGGGTGGCTTGATGGTTAGGCAAGGCCTCTGGGTTTGGACATACTTCAGTGTGACTCACTCTAGTTTAGTAGTGATGTGGCCTGGGCAAGTCATTCCCCCTTACTCAGCCTCAGTTTTCATGACTGTAAAATCGGGTTTATTGTATCATTTATGAACCATTTTAACCCACTGAATCCCAGTTGTGCTATTATTTACTTAATGTATATATTTATATCACCTTTATAAAAAATATCATATAAGTTTTAAAATGGTAGCTTTATTGATAGAACTCATATGCCACCCTTTTAAAGTATTCAATTCAGTGGTTTTGGGGGATATACACAGAGTTGTGCAACCATCCTCACTGTCTAATTCTAGGACATTTTCATTACCCGAAAAGAAACCCTGGGTCCATCAGCGGTCCCTCTCAATCCCTCCTCCCGCTAGCTCCTGGCAACCACTAATCTACTTTCTGGCTCTATGGCTTTGCCTAGGCAGGACATTTCATACAAATGGAATCGTGTCCTGTGGTCTCTTGTGATTGGTAGTTTTCACTGAGGATGTTTCTACGGTTCGTCCGTGTGATAATATACGGCAGTACTTCATTCCTTGTTTATTTTAGTATTTCATTACTTTTTATGGCTAAACACGTATGGATATACTGCACTTTATCCATTTATTAATTGTTGGGCATTTGGGTCGTTGCCACTCTGGGGCTATTTTGAATAATGCTGCTGTGAAAATTTGGGTACAAGTCTGTGTGTGGGCGTGTGTTTTCAGTTCTCTGGGGCATAGCCCTAGGAGTGGAATTGGGGTCACATGGTAACGCTACGTGTTACCTTTTGAGGAACCACCAAACTGTTTTCTAAAGCAGCTGCACCACTTTACAATCCCACCAGCAGCAGATGAGGGTTCGGATAATCTTGAACTTAGTCTTACGTGGCTGTGATCTTGGAAATCACCGGCTCTGATGTGCTCGTTGTAAATTATTGTCTAACACACGAAATTAAGCTCCTCATTAGCAGAGTAACCATGCAGAGTGACCGGGAATCTCCGGGACCATCAATTAGGGAAACAGATCAGGTCTGTGGAGCGCTTAGCTGAGTTACAGGTGCCCCACGTCCCTCCTGTAACAGTGATGGACATTGGTTGAGGGCCTACTGCTAGACTCTGAGCAGGACAAGGGGTGGCAATGAGGAAGCCAAGGGCTCTCAGTGCCCACCCCAGGACCTGGCGCTGGGTCTGGTAGTGCCTTTAGGCACCTGTGCGTGGGATAAAGGAAAGGGGGGAAATGGCTCACACCTTCCCACTCCAGGCCAGCAGGGGTCCCTTGACAACTGAGGATCCTTGAAGGCCAGGGAGACCCTTGGAGGGTTTCCCAGATGGCAGCCCTAAGGGAAAGCCTGTCCCTTGGCTCCAAAATAGGGCCTGGTCTTGCCTGTGCTCACCCCGCCCCCATACCCCCATGCTCATTTGAAGGTGACCTCCCCTGGTGGCCACATCGGGGGCCTAAGTGAGCCACCGCTTACTTCAAGAGGTGTCACTCCCAGGCCTGAGACCAGCAGTCCTGAGTTAACAACGTCCCACCTGTGACATCCCGACACACAAACATCTCAACCCTTCTCCCAGGTGGCACCCCCGCACCTGGAATGCCCACCTCTCCCCTCACACTCTTGGCTTTCGGTGACAGTGAGGCTGCCCAGGAAGAGCCCAGGTCAGAGGGCCGAAGAACAATCCCTTGCTCCAAGGTCATTGGTTCTTCCTGAGGTTGAACCTGTCACCTACTGCTTTGGGACCTTCAGCCAGCGTTGATCTGTGTGTACCAGGGTCCCAGCCAACAGCCTCGCCTCGCCTCGCCTGGGCAGCTCCTTTTTAGGGGGAGCCGTGGAGACCATGCTTTCTGATGGCCTTGTCCAGCCTCTCCTGCTTTTATGCATTCAGGCAGACTTTCCCTTTCTTGGCCTTTTTAAATCCTGAATTCCTGTGCTGGAAGAAGGCAGCCTGGGGACATGGAAACAGGGTTGAGGAGGCAGGCAAGGGGCTGCCCCTCTCTGGGCCTCTCTGCCAGGGAACGAGGGTGGACTGAGTCTGAACTCGGGTGCAGTACCACCTTGGAATCAGTGAGGCTGTCACATGCATTATTATTATTATTTTTTATTGAAGTGTAGTCAGTCTACAGCGTTGTGTTAACAGATGCATTATTGACGTGACTCTGGATCAGTTTGTAGCAAGAGCGGCAGGTCAGAAGTAGCTGGTATTGGTGATTGGACAGCCCGGGTGTGACCTGCGTGGCTTCGTTTTGCCATGTGGCATCGTCGTGGAAACTTGTTTGGGTGGCAGCTCCTGCCCTCCCCACTCGTCACCTGTTCTTAACACATGCAAAGCCCCTTGTCCTCTCAGAGTCATCTGCCCTCTCCGGGGCTGCGCCAGGGAAGGTTCTGGGATGCCCTGCTTGGGTCTCCTCCACCCCAGGAGCTGCTGCGGCCCGAGGGTTTGTGGGAATGATTCATTCAGAGGTGCCCGAGAGCTGGGCCAGGCCCCAGAAATGGCAGGGGGGACCTCAGAGAGCAGTGCTTACGTGCCCCGGGAGGAGCCTTTGTTACCTTGCGTGCTCAGCTCAGCTGGCGGGTAGCCGGCCCGTCTGCCAAGTGAATTCTTGCATCAGCCAGACTTTTGACCTGGGCGGCTGTGGCCAGGAGGTGGCGGGCAGGTGGAGGTGGCCAGAAAGTGGGTTTGGTGATAGCGTCCTCGAGGGCGATGTGTCTGAGTTCATCGGCTGCCTTCCCTTTGCATCCATTTTCTCGCGTGCAGGGCAGAGGTGCAAATAGGTCCTACCTCCTGTGTTGCACGGGAGGGGTTGTGGGGGTCAAGTACCCACCCTGCTGCCAGGCAAAGTGCCAGACCCCAGGGTCAGACCTCTTTGGAATCTTCCAACATGTCCCTTTGTGAGCCTCGGCGTCCCCAGCTGTCCAGAGGCAGTAAATACAAGTGTACTGTCAACGGGGCTTAGTGGGCGCCAGGCAGTGTTCCAGGTACTTTGTGTACTTGAACTTGTTTAATTCTTCCAGCGGCCCGGTGAGGTGTAGACGCTGAGGCACAGAGAGGTGGAATAATTGGCACGAGGTCGCCCAGCTAGGATGGGAGAGACGGGGTTAGAATCCAGGATCTACACTTGAAATTACCATCTTACCCGTTCTCAATACTGTCTTAATGCCTCACATGTAGAAAATGCTCAGAAAATGTCAGTTGTTATCGTTTCATTATTATCGAATTATTCTTATATGTTACAGCAAGGTAAAATTATTACGTGTCATTAATAATAATTCATCCTCTTCCCTGCCCCTTTGATCACACGCCTTCCTGGACAGACGGACTGAGCAGGGCTCTTGGCTTGTGAAGTCTAGATTCCTTCCCTCCAAAGTCCCCCCACTCCCTCCCTCTTCCCCCACTCCTGTGAGCATTTGGGGTGGGCTAGAGCTTGGAGGCAGCTGGATCCCCGCTCTGCCTCCACATCGCTGTGTGACATTGCGCCAGTTGCTTCCCCTCTCTGAGACTCAAGTTTCCCCACCTGTGAAATGGGCGGTTGGGCTGTAACAAGCTGTCAGTCAATGGCTTCGACCCCTGGGATGGTTTTTGTTTAGCCCCCATGGTGTTTGATTTTAAAACAAGAAGACATTCAAATATTTTTAGAGAATAGTTTCAGTGTCTCACTTTTTAGGGAAACTCAGGAGCTTGGGCCAAACCATCATGACCTGAAGCTGCCCCAGAGATGGATGGCCTGGGCTCTCCTGGTCCATCCCCATCGTCTCCTGGCCTCGAGGGCCCTCCAGCCCAGTGCACGTCTTCAGCGCTCTGAGAACACCAGGGACCTGCCTGAGTGTCACTTGAACAACAAGTAGATCCATTGCTTTAAAAAACAATATTTATATTTTTAACCACTGGCTTCAGTGTTCTCCAAGAGTTCTTCCAGCTCTGCTTTGTAGACCATCTGAGGCTGTCTGAGGCCTCTGATACCTTTTCTGCCACTGTAAACTTTCAAGGCTTTTTAACACACTCAGCCCTTGTCCCGCTTCCACACTCCCTGAGTGAGGAGCCCCTATCTTTGAGCCCCAGGGTCCCACCTTACCTGGCTCAGGTCCCTGGCTAACCCGCTGGGAAATATTTGGGGCCAGCCGAGGTCCCTCTGCTCTGTGTACCGGCCAGTGTACGTCTGTGTTCCAACGCATCTCCACCACCTGCACAGCTGTGGGGACACCACCCCATACCCTCTCCCTGTCCTCACAGGGTCCCAGGGAGACATTTGTTATTAACAGCTCCATTTCCCGGAAACTAAGTCTCAAGTCACTTTCCTGGGGTCACACAGGCCTGATACGACAGCACCGGAATTCCAACCCAGATGCGCCCAACTCCAGTGGCTGCCTCCTGGAGTCATCCATCCAACCATCCCTGCTCAGAGCCACTGAGTGATGCCTCCTCTAGTGTCTCTGGTCACTGCCATGTCCTCAGCCCGTGGCACTGGGCCTGGGTCATACTGGGCACTCAGTGACTTGCTGAATAAGGACACGTGGCAGGTTCTCAGCTAGATGCTGGGGTGCAGGGTTCAGGAAGCCACCAGGTCCCACTTTTCCTGGAGTGAACCGCTTGGCGAAGGCATCAGACAGGACAGGAAAACAAGTAAATTACATCTCTGACCCAAGGTGCCAAGCTGGGAAGTCAGTTACCGCACCCCTCAAACTTGAGCTCTTTCACGAATCCCCTAGAGACCTTCCCAAAGTACAGATTCTGCTCAGCAGGTTCGGAGCAGGGCCTGGTGACTGCGCGCTACCCAGCTCCCAGGGGACTCCAGGATAGTTTCTCTAAAGACCACACTTGGAGCAGAGACAGCCTAGATCAGAGGTTGGCAAACCACAGCCCGTGGGCCACATGCGGCCCACTGCTTGTTTTTGTGAATAAAGTTTTATTTTCATTTTGTCTGTGGCTGTTTCTGGGCGACAGTGGCAGAGTCGAGCGGTTCCAGTGGAGACTTTGTGAAAGTGATGATTCCTGGGCCCTTTACGGAACGCCTGGCAGCCTCGATCTACTCATCTCTTGGGTCCCTTCATAATAATATTTTGTGATTCGGTGAATGTCAGGTGGTAATCAAAATAATGATTGTAGTTAACATTTGAGTGCCTCCTGGGTCCTTAGTTCTTTGCAGGTAGTTTTCTTAGCTCAATGCTGTCCTAGTAACACTGTTGTATTCGTTTTGTAGGTGAGAAAGCTGAGGCTCACAGGGGCCAGGAAGTGGGTGAGGCCAGTTGGAGCCAGGTCAGCTCATTGTTGTCACATCAGAACTTCTGCCTGGAAAATTTTCGCAGAGCATAGACAAGGTCTTGGTTTGATTTCAACCCATCCCAGGGTGCTTGGTACCTTCATTTCTTCCTTTGTCCTCCCACTGAGTCAACAAATGGCTGTGCAACCCATCTAGGAGTTGGGGGCCTTGCGGAGTCCTGGGAGGATGTGGGGGATGCTCAGCCCTGTGCTTTCCAGGGGAGGAGGCAGAGAGCCAGGGGGGCCATGCAGGGTGCTCAGCTCTTTGGGGGACACTGGCACAGGGATGAGAGGCAGTCAGGGAAGGCTTCCTGGAGGAGGGGTTGCTGATTGTACCCATAGGAGTTAGCTGGGTAGAGGAAGGCAGGAAAGCTTTTCTAGGAAAAGGGAACCACAGGTGCAAAATTGTGGCCTTGCAGGTTTGGTAGAGTTCATGGCACAGACATTTTAGTATGTGTGTGTATGTTGGGGGAGGGAGGCTGTTAAAATTGGCCATGTCAGAGACCCTGGACTTCACCCTGGAGAATACAAAAGAGTTTTCCTCTCCAAGTTCCCCTTCATCCTCTGATGACTTCCCGGACAAAGTCTTCAGCTAACTCCTTGCTTCTCTCCAGATTCCTCCTGATTTACTAAGAGCAGACCTCTGCGGGGCTCCCGGGGCGGGCGGCAGCCTTCAGCTCGGAGGCATAAGGATTGCTTGTGTTTGTTTTTGCAGTTATTTTTTAATTTAAGCTGAGGGTGAGGTTAGAGTATCTTTCAAGAATGTTTTAACAATATTGAATCCATTGAAGAGAAACATTAAGGAGGTGAGAGTCAGGGGGCTTCCGGCTGTAGCCAAGTCACGAAGGTGGTCCTCAGCAAGTGGGAATCTGGGGAGCCCCATGGCAGGAGGTGGGGGTTTTGGAGGGGGCCAGACAAGCAGCTACCTCAGCTCTTAATGTTCAGCGCTTTCTCTGCCTCTCATTGTTTCTCGTCCCCTGACCCCTGTCTGTGTCTCTCCCCATGTCTGGTTCCCCCACCCCACTCCCTGTCCCTATCTGTCTTCTCCCTCCCCCACCTGCTCCACTTCCCCTTCCCCTCCCCCCCTGCACACACACTAACGCGGCTCTTCCTTGCTCTTATTAGAAACTCTGTCCCACTTCCTTTGGCCGCGAGTGACATCCTGCCTTAGAACCATCAGAACCCGCACAGAGCCCGGGGGCTCGGCCAAGCATCCCCATTGGAGGTGTGGGAGACGTGGTGTGTGCGGCTTCCCTGGTGAAGAGAGGGAGGTCAGGAGGCCTGCCACCCTGCAGTACAGGGCTCTGAATCCCCACCCCCACCACCCGCTAACCCCACCCCCAGGGCCTCTCACCCGGCCCAGCTGGCCCCAGGCTGCAGGGGAGGAAGAGGAAGCCGGGGTTGGCTGCAAGAAGGCGGAATGCTTTGGGTTTGATTTGGTTTGGGGCTCCGTTACCTGGGGTGGGGGGGTGTCACCTTCCGTGGCTCCAGGAGTAGGTGTGAGGCCCCGCCAGGTCTTGCTTTTGCTCTTTGGCCACAGAGAGGCCATGAGCTCCTCCAGCAGGCAGCATGCAGTGTGTTCACGACTCCCCCTGGAGCGCACAGTAGGCCAGCAGTGTGATCGGAGGGCTGAGAGTCCGGGGGAGAATGGCGAGATTAGAAATGGAGTCCAGCCCCTTCCTTTCGCGGATGGGAAAGCGAGGTCTAGAGAGTTGTGACTCGCTCAGGATCATGAAAAAAGGTTTGCAGGACAGAGTGGGGTCTGGGTCCCACACCCCCTGCAAGCTGGAGGCGGCAGGGAGAGCTGGTGGGTGCTCTGGTGGCCCCTGTGAGTGTCATGTGACAGAGCCCTTCCAGGAAGCGGGTGACTCGGGTTTGAGGCTACCTTACCCACTTGCTGGGGGTCTCGGTGAGGTCTTCCTCCCCGGGGATCCTTCCTGTCCTTCTGTATCCTCCAGGTGATGACACACGCCATCTCAAGGATTGCACAGGCGTCAGGTCTGTGGGGTCAGAGGTCGCTGACCTCACAGCGGGTGGACATCGTGCTTGCTCTCAGCAGGGGCTGTGGCTGCTCCACAAGCCCCTTCAGATCTGACTTCTCCAGGCTCTGATGGCACAGAGAAAGTCCCCTGGGAATGTCCCCCCACCCCAAGTACAGCCTTGATGTGTTTCAAGAAGACCAGTCCCATTGGCAGCTTCCCAGGTTGCATGGTGGAGCCCCACGTGGGACATGGGATTTCCCTGCTCAGTCAGAGCAGGAGCTTGGCATCCAAAAGCCCAGCGTTAAAATCTGAGTTTTACCATTTAGTGCCATGTGGCCTTTGGTGATGTTCTTGATTATTTGTACCTTTCATGTCTTCATTTTAAAGTGATCCTGTCATCACATACATCAGTGGCTTTTTGTGAGGATTCGTGGGGTCTCATTGATGCAGCAAATACTGTATGCTGGACTCTGTGTTAGGCACGGGAGAGCCAGCCAGTGAGCAAGGCAGACCGTCCCTGCCCTTGGGGAGCTGATGTTTTAGGCGAAGAAATGGACACGAAGGAAGATGTATTAGGGTTCTCCAGAGAAACAGAACCAATAGGAGATGGATGGATGGATGGATGGATGGATGGATGGACTGACAGACGGATGTAAGAGATTTATTTCAAGAGTTAGCTGGCCCAATGATGAGGGCTGGGAAGTCCCATGGTCTGCCGCCTAGCAGGCTGGGGGACCAGGAAAGCCGCTGGTGTAATTCAGTTCTAGTCCGAAGGCCTGAGAACTGGGAGCACCTGTGTGCAAGTGCAGGTGGATTTTTACCTCTGTTATCACCGTAATTATTAGAGGAGGTGAGAAGGGAAGGGAGGTGTTGTAGGAAGAAGGCACAGTGTCAGTAACAGTATAGGGACAAGAAGGCATTTGGTGTCAAAATCGTGATCGTCGTAGCTGGTGATCACTGATGCCCTGGTGTGTGCCAGCTTCTCTGCTGAGGGCCTCCTTGGTACAAACTCATCTCGCCCTCCAGGGACGGGCTTTTATTATCCGCATTTTCAGCTGCAGGAAACAGAGCACGGGAATAGGACTGCTTGTCTGGGGAAGTGGAGGGATGGGCTTCGAACCCCACCCACCATCTGGGAGGACTGGGGGCTCCAAGGAGGGGTTTGGGGAGTGAGACTGGTGGGGTCGGGGTAGGTGGAAAAGGCTGGAGTTTTGCCTTGAACCCCAGAAGTTTAAGCATGTCTTCATGCTGGAGACCCTGGGTGGTCTTGGGCTGCATGGGGTGGGGAGGTCCACAGCACGTCCTCACATCATATGGGCCAGAGAAACCAGTGTGGTGTGAAGCCCCAAAAGAGTGGGTGGGAAAGAACGGCTCTGCCCTGGCCCGCTTCTGGTGGGGTCGGCTGGTGGGTGGCACATTCCCGGTGGGGTTGGGCTTATGGCAGGAAGTGCTGGGCACTGTCAGATGCACGGTTGAGAGCCCACATTCTGGACAGTGAGGACACCCAGGTGTGTCCCTCTTCCCTGCAAGGAGGTGATTGCTCACTGTTGCCTTAACCCAGCTCCGCTCCCTGGGACCTTCTCCGCTTAGGGCCAGGGACAGCAAGAGCCCAGGCAGAGGGGTTGATGCCAACTGCTGGGATGTGCCTCTCTCTCCAGCCATTCATTTCTCAAATTCCTGACTCCCTATGTCTTGCCAGTTTCTGAGCAGACAGCTGCGTCTTTATCTTTTTGTGTGTGATGTTACTGAAACCTCATAATGACTCATGGGGCTGACATCAAGAGGAGCCCTGATGTGGTGGAAAGATAGGGCCTTTGGAGTCAGGCACACTTGAGTTGGCTTGTGCACAAGCTGTGAACCCTTGGGCCAACCCCTTCCCCTCTCTGGGCCTCAGTTTCCTCACCTGTAAAATGGGGATCATGTTGGTGACCATCTCTTGGGTTGCTGGGAAGATTGTAGGTAAAGTTATATGTACCTGATGCATAGAGGTGCTCAGTAATTCACAGTAATAGGAATTCTGTTGTTCACCCATTTTACAGATGAGGAAACAGGTCCAGAGGAATTCAGGGTTGCCTCCCACAGCATCTTGCTCCCTGGCTCTGTTCCTGGCAATGTCCAGGCAAGTCGGCCGATGGAGATCCTCTGCAGCAAGGTCCCAGGCCTCCTCAAGGCCCCAATTCTCTTCCCCACTTTTCTTTAGGAAAAGGCCATTCACTCACTCTGAATCTGGCCTCACAAGTCAGTGAACCGCGAGAAAACACCCCTTCTTTCTCATGGGTTCCTCCCTCTGATTTTTAAAGTGTTCATGTTCTGAGCAGCTCTCAAAGTCTTTGAAATTTTTCCTCTTCTGCCTGCTTCAGGAGCAAGTGAGAGGGAGGAGGGTCTCCCGGTTGGTCCTGGGGCTGCATTTGTTCAGAAGGGAGGCAGCGGGCAGGTTAATGTCCCAGGACACTGGATTCCCGTTGATGTGCTGCCTCAGACCCAGGCCTGCAAACTGTGCACTTAAAACCCCCACCAAATCCCCCACCCATGAGAGGGTCTTCCGTCTTATCTGGAAACATTACATCAGCAAGTATTCATTACTTGCTTTGTTCTCGGTCAAGCCTGTCTACCTTTTTGGCCATCGGCCATTGCAAAACCTCCACAACAAAGACGTGGATGATAATACAATCAGAAGAGCCATAAACTACAATTAGGGGGCAGGGAAAGGAGGAAGTTAGCCAAAGACTTCCTAAGTGTAAAGTCTTGAAACAACCTTCTGACCTCTGGTAAGGATATTCTCCTGAGGAAAACTCAAATCCACGCCCTTGGGGCAGAAGTGAGAGTGGTTAGCTGGCTCCAGCTGTCACTGTGAGTCTTCAAATAAGACTTTAGAAATCAGTTTTGCTTAGTTTTGTCAAAACAAATAAAAAAAAAACCACTCTGGGGCCTGGGAGGACACCACTTGAGTGGTAAGCGTGCAGAGGTCAAAAACAGCCTATTATGTGTGTATAAGTTGACTGTGAGTGATAGAATCCTAATTTAAAATAGTGAAGATGTAAAATAAAGGGATCTATTGGCTTAGGTAAATGGTAAGT